GTATATATGCCTGCTTTCGTGTGTATGAGGTGCAAGGCATGGAGGACGGGGGTGAGGTGAGGCGTCTGTGGGTGCCAGCCCAGGAAGCCCACTGAGGCGCTGAAATGCTCCGAATCTCTATCTCCGGGGCAGATACCTCCTGGTGGAAATTCGTCCGGCCATATCCTGAAGGGCAGCATAGTTCACAGAGGTAGGGGGAAGCCCAGTAAAAGGTGTGAATGAGCAATGAACAGAGAGTTCCTTGACGTTTCCTGTTCTACAACTCGTGGAAATAATTTTTTTTTTTCATTCTTTCTTCCGTGAGAGAGAGGCAGCCCTCTCACATGGTGTGGACATCGCAGTCCACCCCCAGCCTCAGCCAGCTCTAGGGCAAGGGTACCCGGGTGCCTGGTGCTCCGGAGGTCTCTGAGTCTCTGAACGCAAACCAGGAACCTTCCCACCTGATCGCCTTTGCGAAGCACCTCACTTTACCCATGCCCCAATCCGGCCCCCGCGAGGAGGGACCATCCTCAGGGCGCGCCAACCTGTGATCCTCACCACCTCTCCTGCGGCAACTGCCGGACAGGGTCTCACGTACAGTCCACACAGGCTCCACATCTGGAACCTGTGGGGACCCACTCAGCCCCCAAGAGATGGTGTAAGAATATTTTGAGGCAAAAACATTTTAACTAAAGAAGGTGGAGGAAGAAATCTTATTTGCATTTCTCTTCTAAAGCAGCGCTGCCCTTGAACATGGGCACGAGGCAGCGCCCTGCTAAGTGGGCAGGACAGGTGGCTCGTTTCTCTTAGCATCAAAAGGCTCAATAGGGGGCTGGCAGGTGGTATGGTTGGTTAAGGGCTCTGGACTCTCACATGGTTGATCATGGTTCGAGTCCTGGACCTGGTGGCTTTCTCACTCTCTCTCTTTTGCTCTGTCCCTCTCTGGTCAAATTTAAACAAATAAATAAAATTAAATAAAATAATATTTCTAGAATTTTCTGCACTTTGCCTTTGAAATGCTAAACACCTCCCCTTTTGTTCAATTTGGTGTGTAAACTTTGTTCTCTGCTTATTCAGTGAGTCACTCATTACTGAGCAATTCTTAGGGATGTGTGTAATTAATTTAGTCTTTTTTCCAGTTAACCTGACTTTTCTCAGTTAATCTGTAGGTCCCTAAGGACTGAACCCAGGGTAGGAGAGAAAAGCAGCTTCCCCCCAACAAACCCACAACTCTGCTGTGGCCTGTGGAGCTAGAATCCAGTAACTCATCGGTCTAGTACATCTAACCTTGCATTTCACAGACATTTTATCAAGTTAGCTCTTCTATCACGCCCTGAGCAGGCCCTTGCTCTGGGACTTACTCCATTCCCTAGTCCAGAGTCAGACTCCTCTCTATGACATGCCCTGGTTTCAGGGAGGATAGGAGAGAGAGTTCTAAATATCCTGATGGGAGAGCCAGACCTAAGCAGCACTGACCGCATCTCCATCCTTCTGGTTGTTCAGGCCGAAACGTTTGTAGTTATTATTATTATTTTTTTTTTTTGGAGAGGTTTTTGCTATAGGGTGTGTGTGCTCGCCAGACAGAGAGAGAAAGACAGAAAGCAAGAAATGACCCCCTGGGGGGATGGCCATGCCGCAATCCCTTCTCCATTCTCCTCTCAGGATCTTGGGCGCGCATGCATGCACACGCACCTGGTATGAGTTTAAGCCACCAGGTCCGGGACTTGAACCACGGTCAGCTACATGGGAGTCCAGCAACATAGCCATTACACTAACTGCTGGTCCCAACGTTTGTAGTTATTCTTGACTTCTTTCTTTGATGTCTGGAAGGAAGTTGTGCCATATACATATATATATGTATGTGTGTGTATATATAATCACTTCTGTTTTCCTCCCAGGATCTTGGCCGTGCATGCTCACGAACACAGTGTGATTTTCAAGCTACCAGGTCCAGGACTCCAACTGTGGTCTGCCATGTAAGAGTCCAGCGCCTTAATCCCCACGCCACCTGCTGACCCTGCCAGCTCCCACTTTTAAAATACGTCCTGTATGGGGCCAGCTGTGTCATGGTAGTTAAGGCGGCTAGATCTCACATAACTGTGAGGTTCGAGTCCTGACCCAGCAGTGGGACTGTGTCTGTAGGTGCCCAAAATTCTGAAAGGAGAATGGAGAAGAGGGGATTGTGGTGTGGCCATCCCACCTGGGAGCTGCTTTCTCACTTTCCCTCTCTCTCTGTCTGTCTCTGACAGGCAAACTCAATAAATAAATAAATAAACTCATATTTTAAAAAAAGTATCATTATATATATAATATATAGAATCTGCGGTCCTGTATGGGACCACGTCCCACCACCCTCTCTGTTGCCTTCGTGGTCAGCACCACCTCTGTCCCTTACCTGCACCAGGACAAAAGCTTCCTAACTCCCTGCTTCTACCCTCTTTTTTAACATAGCTGCCAGGGTGATAACTCTAAAACCTAAATTGGGTTCCCTCACTCCTCTGTCAAAACTCTCCAGGGGCAGCTGCCCCTAACCCTCTGCACCCAGGCCCCTTCACTGCTCTGTCTCCCAACTCCTCCCTGTCACCTGGAACCAGCCTCATTGGCTCGAGTGTTCCTTGAACTTGGGCCTGCCTTCCTGGCTTAGGCTTGGAGACCTTTCTCAGGTAGATGTTCCTGCCTGGCATCCTTCTCCCTGGGTATCCACTTGGCTAGCTTCCTCACCACCTTCAGTCCTTGCTCAGATCTCACCATTCAAATTAATACTCCCTCACCCCTACCCCACCACCCCACCCACACACACCGGCACACTGCAGTCCTCTTCCCTGTCTTTTTCTTTTCCAGAATATTGACCTTTGTAACATTCACTTATTTACAATTTACTGCTTGCGTCTTTCTTCTCAGGAAGGTAGGTCCAGGAGGGCAGGGGTCTATCGTACTCAGTGATGTAGACCAGGTGCCTAGAGCGGTGTCCGGCGTGCAGTCGGCGCTTGACACGTGTTTGTTAGACTAACCACACTAGCCTCTTAGACTAACTCACGGTGAGAGCTGAGTTTTCCTGAAAAAGAAAAACGGTCTAGGCACTTTCTGAATTAAGATTGTTATTGCCTCCAGAGCCAACAGCCCCTTGCCTAGGCTTGAGAATTCCCCAGAAACAAAGGAGGACAACCCAGACCAAATTCAGCAAGCCCAGGGGAGCTTTCAGCCAGACTTCCTGCCCATGGGTTCCTCCTCTTACCTGCCAGCAGGCTGAGACAGGGCTGTTGATCATTTAAGTGACAAAAAGAAAGCAGAAATGGAGAGGGGCAGCCCCTGGTCTGGGCGGAAAGGCGAGCTGAACACCGCTGTCAGCACCATAGGCCTCGGCCTGGACCCACCTGCCGCTGGAATGAGGAAGCCCCTCTCCCAAACTGGGTGGGACTGAGGGAGGGGGCCCAGCGAGTCGCATTCTTGCCAGGTCTCTCTAGGGAGAGGTCTCACGCTAGATCAAGGCTACTAGGCGGGGTCAAACGGAACTCAGCCCGGCACTGTGGCCCAAGCTCCCCAGGCTTCCTGTTGGAGACGATGCGAGGGCAGGGGAAGCTGGTCTCATAAAGTGAAGACCTGAGGTTGAGTGGGAGGGTGAAGGGGCCCGGGCTGCGCTAAGGATTATTGGTGTTATTGGAACTGGGCTCCAAGACCCCTGGTTGCAAGGGCCAGGGTGTGTCCAATATGGACCCCATCAGCCTCCTCTGGGATGGTCTTCCCCCACCATGTCCTGGGACTATCCCGCCTCCTTCCAGGCAGCACCACATTCACTCCAACGCACGGTAAAGTTCTGGGAGACCGTGTCACACCCAGCGCAGAACCCCAGACTGCAGGGAAGAGGACCTTAGAGCGCTTGTTGACTGAGGCCCAGGGAGGCGAAATAGCTCATCCAAGCTCGTGCAGCTCCTGGGCCACCCTTAGGGACAGAGCCAGAAATAGAACCTGGATCTTTCCATGCTGTTTGAAAGTTCTTCCCAGCTCTGGGATTTTGTGATTCCAAGGTAACGGTCCAGCATGCTTCATCTTCACCAGAGCGGCTTTCCTCATAAAACTCTCGTCCTAAAATGCCCACGGTGTCTCGTCTGACCACTGGTTGTAACCATAATAGCACGTCCTTGGCCCCTGGAGAGAAGATTCTTCTCTAGGGCATTTGGAAATATATTCTATAGCTTCACTTCTCTTCTGATGACCAAACCCTAAGCACCCCTAAGCACCCTCCTCCCGGGTCCTGTCAGATGAGCTCACTCGCCCTTTCCCTTCTCCCTGATAGTCCCCTTTCATCCCGGAACCTCTAGCCCGGCCAGGGAAGAGGTCCTGGCTTCGACTTGGCTGCAGAAGCATGGGGTATTGAAGATGGCAGGGTGTTAGAGGTTGCAGTCTCCCACGCTGGGGAGCTATCCCCTGGAGACCTCAGAGGGCTGTGCTTCTCTCTATTGCTCAGGGATGAGAGTGGACGTTGGAGCTCCTGCTCAATTTACCGAACACTGAAGAGGTGTGTATTTTCAATGAGCACCAACTATGTAGCAGGCACTGTGTAAGAGCTTTGCTATCTCATATAATCCTTGTAACGGCCTAACGAGGTAGACATTATGCCCATTTAATCAGTCAGGATGTTGAAGTTCAGAAAGGCACTCTAATTTGCCTTCATTCATAGAGCTTGTAATGTAGGGTCAGGAATGGAACACAGATCTGGCTATGAAGCCCAAGACCCAGGCCTAAAAGATGGGGTGGGATAAGGCAGGGGAGAGGGATGAAGCACAATCTTGTCACAACCCCACACCTCCCTAGCTGCAGGACTGAGGGGTGAGTAGAACCCTGGAAATGATTCTGTATCTTCAAAGCCGCCTTCAGAGAGGAGAGGTCCCTGGGCAAGGGGCAGGAGGCTTAGCTTGCAGACAGCCCTGGCCCGCCAGCTCTCAGCCTGCAGTTTCTGATCACCTGGCTGCATCCTGGAAACGGCCCAGTCACACCTGGCTGGCAGCTTGCCCCTCCTCCCTGGGTTGAGGAAGCAGGAAAAGGTGGCAGTGAGCGGCAGCAGGCAGGTCTGCAGGGCAGTGGTGGCCAGCGTCCCGGCTAGGATGGGCCCTCTCTGGGGCCTGGCTCTGCCCCTTTTCTTCTGCTGCTGGGAGGCTGGGGTCGCTGGGAGTTCTACAGGTAAGGAGGCCAGAGGGGCCCTGCAGGCTTCTCCCTGACCAGTCTCTGGGGTGAGTTTCCATGCGGGCAGCCCTTGGTGGGAGATGCTGGGCTCTTGGGTTAACCAGAGTGAATCGCAGGCCATCTGTGAAGTTGTGTGATTGCTGATAGAGCGCTTGCACATGGCCCCTGTGTCAGCCTCGGCACACGTGACCCTGCACACACACGGGTGAACTTGGGAGGGCTGCGAGCTGTGAGTTGGTCTGGGTGCGTGTGGACTGTGCGTAAGTGGGGTGGGAGACCGGGGGCAGGGAGGTGCCAGCTGGTGCCGAGTGTGCCTAGAGCTGAAGAATGTGGCTTAACAAGGTCCTGACTCCTCCAAGTTTGTTACTGGATTTTCTGCAAACTACATTTTTTGTGTGAAAAGCCTGGCTGTCACTGACTGCCTGGGAAGGGTGGGTTCTGAGAGAGGCAGAGCTTTTATGAAAGCAAGGATCTAACACTGTCACTGGTAGGAACTGTCTAAACTTGTCACACTCATTTAAAAAACAAAACAAAAACCCCACAAATCTTAGAGTAGTTGTAGGGTCACACAAAATCGTGTGGAATGTGTAGTGAGCTCCCATACAACCCTGTCACAACGTCCTCCCGCCATCAACAGGGCTCGCAGAGCCGTGCATTCGTTACGACTGATGGACCTACACCGGCACATCCTCATACGCCCTCCCTGGGAGCCTCCCGAGACCCCTGTGGGATGCGTGCTATTCTTACCATGCTCACCCCACCCCTATAAAGGCAAAGACACTGAGGCTTATGGGGAGTAAGCAAACGCAAATCCAGAGCTAGAAATTGATGCCACACACGCTAACCAGTGGACCATACTGCCCTCACCAAGCTTGCACGGCACGTTTCCCACTTAATGTAATCCTCATAACCCCATGAACTAGGTACTGTAAATCCCATTTTATCACTGAGAAAATGTAGGGAGACTTGGTCAGGGTCACCCTGTCGGCAGGCAGCAGAGAGGAGGGAGTCACCCCCAAGGTCCAAAGTACATAGACTTTCCTCGCCACTGGATTTGAGGAATGCATCAGGAGAGCTGGAACATTCTAGAGCTGGGGGAGGGGTGGGCTTTGCTCTGTTTGAGAAGACAGCTCGCAGGTGAGCGATTTGGGTGAGGGGTTGTGACAGTCCTGGAGATGAAGAGGCTGTGGGTTTGGGGCACATGAGGGGGTTCCACAGCAGAAATGACACCCCAGGGCTCCTGGAAAAGGAAGAAAACGCATCAGGTGAGGTCGGGGTCAGCCTCTCAGAGTGGCGCTATTGGGCTTCAGGCCGTGTGGGCTGAGGCAGAAAGGCTCTGCATCTACTGTGGGGGGAACAAGGGGGCTCAGAGGAGTAGCTCAGGCTCGGAAGTGAGAAGAAGGCACTATGCGAGGCAAGCCCGGCAGTCCCTGTGAAAGCGTGACCTGTGTGTGCAGCTGGGCCGCACTGAACACGGAAAGGGAGGGGGCGCTCCCGCCAAGTGGCCTGATGTGCGCGTGGGCTGCAGCCTGAAATTCTCCCGGGGCTTTCAAGGGCCTCGTCAGGAGGGCATGACGGGGGAGGGTGCTTAGTAACCACTTGTATACATATAATTCACCTTCTCTTTGGTCCTTGCCACCTTGGGCAGGCAGGGATTGAGCCCTCCTCCCCAAGTGAGGCCCTGGAGGCTGGGAGAGGTCTAGTGACTGCCCTGGCTGGTGGAAGGCACAGCCAGGATTTGAACCAGTGGATCTTCTGACTCCAGAGCTAGTAGCGGTGGCACAACTGAAGCTGCAACCTAGTCTCTGGGCTCCTACTCCATCCATCTGTGAGGTCCCCAGGGGGACAAGCTCTTTTATGTCCTTGGGCTACTTTTGGGCCAGAGGAGCTTAGTAAAGACCATCTCAAACCATCAGAACACCACAAAAGAGGGTTTGTATTTTAATTTTTTTGATTCTACCACACTTGGCTTTTTTGGAGTGGGCCAGGAATTGAACCGGAACCTCCCATTTGGCCTCAGCCTGCTGGGTAGCGGTGTCACGTGGCAACATCAACCAGTCTGTCCTATCACAACTGGGGCGGTAATACATTTTTAGCACATGTTTTAAATATTGTATGAGAAATGCCTGCACTAAAGAATTATTAGTTGACTGGAATGCAAGTTCAATTTTACCTATGTGTCCTGACTTTTTTTTTTTACTTTGCCAGAAGGCAATGTACTCAAGAGAGACAAAACGGGG